GGGCACTTCGCCGGACAGAGGTCTTGAGGGTCTCTTTGGAGTCAGGGCCCGGGGTCGGGGGCCAGAGACCACTGAGGCCTAAAGATCCCCGGAGCGTCGCAGGACGGTGACGATTTTTGGAATACAGCGCTCCGTTAAACCTCTTGCAATTGGCCAGTTCGGAGCCATGGGCGTGGCGGCCCCAAAATCCATCCAATGAGAGGACCCCGCGCAGAAGGCCGAATGCTTGCAAGATCGACGGGAGGAGAAGTAGGGACAGTCCCTAACCTGGGGGCTGGCCCTGGGTGGGGGAGGGGCGGTGGCAGCTAGTGGGGGAGGGGCCCTGCCGATTGGACCTCCGCCCCCTCCCCCATTGCGTCCTGCGTCCAGGACAGGTCCCTGGGCTAAAGTTCTCTAAAACGCCCAAACGCCCCGTGGTTGCAACGAATAAAAGTGCCAGCGAACGTGCAACCCTGCTGTTGGCTGCGTCCCCCGTCGGGGCCGCGTGGCCGTCTGGTTTCCCGAGGTCTGTTGAGAGCCCACATTCTGAGCAGGCTCTTAGTCCAAGGTCACCCCATCTCCGGCTGTAGCGCGGCGCTCTGGGATCAGTAGGGCGGAAGTCCCTAAACTACTACTCTGTTATCATTTGGGTCAACCCCAGGAGGGTGGTCAGGACCGCAGGAAGGCGACCTGGGGGGCTTCCTGCTGGACAGCGTTAATGCTGCCTGTGGTCTGTCAGGCCGGGGTGTGGGGTGTGGGTGGGGGGCACCTTGCTGCCTTCGGAGGGAGTCCAACTGAGGCAGGAGAGCTTCCAATGCAGGATGATTAAAAACCCCACATAGCTCACTTCCACCAAGTCCATCCGACTCACAGTGACCCTCTAGGGCAGGTAGATCTGTCCTTTGGGTTTCCTAGGTTGTAACTCTCTTTGGAGTGAAAGCCTGGTCTTTCTCCCTCAGATCATCTGGTGGTTTTGAACTTCTGACCTAGCAGTTAGCAGCTTAACACCAACCATTAGGCAACCAGGGTTAGTTACTTCCAGTCTGGCAGATATCCTTATAAACCGGGAGACACAGACAGGCAGAGAGAGGGAAGGATGCTGGGGGCTTCGGAGG